CACCAACTGCTTCTCCTTGCTCTCAATCCTTCCATGAACAGGAAGCTATTCGTTATTTGTTTTTCGGCGCCAGGCTAAGACCTTTTCATTTAAAACTTATTTTAATTGTTAAATTATTGAATTAATTAGGATTTTAAAATTTTTAGCCAAGAATGCAGCAGGGGTTTTTATTTTTTTTTAAATTGTTATATTATTATTATTTATGTATGTTTTTATGTATTCTTTGTGAGCCGCCCCGAGGCTTTGGTGCGATGGGGGCAGCATAGAAGTGTTTTAAATAAATACATAAATAATGCAGAGGTCCGACCAGATGAGACCCATTGGCTGCATCCGCATATACAGGTAAACCAGGATTCCTACTTTCTCCTGCTTTGCTTTCCCACTCATCTAAAGTGATACCATTAATGTAGAAATAATAGTTTATTATGGCATCCAAATGTGGGGTCTTGGTTCTTGTTCTCAAATAATCCAAGGCCCACAAATCAATAATAAGGTCTTCTCATTCATATAAAGCCAGGTTAAGCCAAGAATCCTGGCATATTGTTAGGTGTCAATGCAGCCATAGGTCTGAGACCAAAGAACTGTGAGCAGGCGCAAGGGTGCGAGAAGCGTTCTGCAAATGTTTGCAGAATTGCTAGTAGATTTCATGCACTACAACATCTTTGAATTTAGTTTCACTTTCTTCAGTAATTTTCTGGTGCAAAGTATAAAACAGCCCTTTTAGAAGTAGATACGTGGCACCTCCACCACATGGAATGGTGCCTTGGGGCGCAACCGTCCTAATGGGTCCATAACAAGATGAGCAACAGAGCAGTCTCTAAAGTCCAGGATTTGGTGAGTCCCCATCAGGCAGCAAGGATATTGGCCTTTAGGATGCAAATCAAGATGAAAACCTTGATTTATCTCCGCACCTTGTTGATTCACAGATGTAAACTCCACTGTGTTTCTTTTTCTGCTGGGTTTCACCACTATTCCATCCCTACTATTTCAGTAGTTCATTTGTCCACTGCTGTCCCGTTCCCTTTTAGCTGTGCAGAGCAGTTCTGAGGAAAGCCAGGCTCACGCCCATTCAGCTCAGACCATCACCATCTTTTGCTCGTTGAGCTCCTGCTTGCCCACATGGAGTTCTGCATGCATCTTATTCAATGGTGGCTCTTAGTTCAGACCTAAAACAAAGCAGAAGTACACATTTTCTGTGCTCCTAACAATAGTATTGCATTTCCATGAATGAAGCGTCACTGGAGACTTTTGGGGCTGCACCCAGGTTTGGCCTCCTGAAAGGCAGAGGGTTGCATTTGTGGAGGGTCTCTGCTCGATTTCTGGGTATCGCCCTCCCCTCCCCTCCCCACCACACCCTGGCTCACTCTGCCCAGCAGGGCCTCTTGGCTCTCATCGGCCATTTTCAAGAGCCTGGGGGGGCTGCTATGGGGGAGGCGAGGCCAGGGGGTCCATTTCCTCCAGTGCAGTTGGGCTAGCTTGACTCTGTAGGTCACCCATGATGTCTGTAAGAGCTGCTCATTTACCAAAACACAAGCAGAGAATATTGGAGGCAAACAGATCAATAACCATCAATAAAATACTCTCCCCCCATGAAACTGTGTTAAATTCTGCAAAATGAATTTGAACACATACTATGAGCACAGTTGTATTTTAGCACGACAGACTGAGTAATAGAATGGTTGCTGCTATTTTGGAAAACAGTCCTTGGCTCATGCATACATATGTCAAATTATAAGAAATTGGACAAGCTGCGAATAATTAGGAAAAATCTCTCGAAGCCTCCAGGGAGCTCATTAAAAGGCTGTCCTTTGAAAATAAGATTGTAACTTGTACATACGGACCTGATTTAGATGGATGCCAAGTTTTCCTAGCAGTCTCTCACTTTGCAAGTTTGTTTCTTTCTCTTCCAAGAGGAAACCTTGAAGGCTCCAGGGTCTTGTTTAGTGCTAGTGATGTTGAAACCTTTAAGTGATGTATTTAAGAATTAGTTGTTTCAAAAGCTCCCAGGATCAGTCTTGCCATGAGAGTCTTTGACCTCTGAGAAGCCATCATGCTTCATATCTTGAAGACATCCACTCAGTGCAAAGCAAGCTCTCCATGTATGAGATTCCAAAGAAAGCAAGAGAAAAATTAAGGGCAATGACAGACCAGTCTTTACACAATTTAATGAAAGGCTGTTTTATTGAATACTGCATGTTCTTCTGGAAGGATGTAAAACTGGGAAAGCAAGCTGCAGCAGGTTTGCAGGAGTATTGCTTGTGGTGGAGGAGAATATTTTGGCCTGCACTTTTAAACAAACTAACCAAAGTCACACTTCATATACAAAAATGTAGATCTGAGCACTGTCTTATTTATTTATTAAAAACTTTTCCATCCCATCCCATCACAGATGTCTCAGGATGGTTTACAGCAACATTAATAAAATACAATAAAAACAGAAGTAAAAGTAGCACAGCATCAAGTGTTTGGTGTAAAACCACAAATTAAAACAATTTAACAATTAAAATATTGGGAAAATAAAAAGGTTTTCAGTCCTGATCTACATATTGTGCATCTCTCCAAATGTTGCAATATGGTCCTCACATCAAAAATTGCATGTAAAATGTACCTCTTAGGGAAGTTGTGTACCAAAATACACAGTGCCTCTCAAAAATATTTAACCCACGTTGACTTTTCCACATTGTATTGCAACTTGGAACTGAAAGGATTTTAGTTGTTATTTTTACCACTTGATTTACACAAGATACTCAGCACTGTGAAGGTACAAAGTATGTTTATTGTGGTACAAAGTTAAGTGAACAAAATTAATTCTCACATTGTACAGTGGTACCTCGGCTCATGAACGCCTTAGTTCACAACCAAATCAGGTCACGAACAGAAATTTCATAAAAATTTTTACTCAGGTCGCAAACTCCACATTGGGTGATGATTGCGATCGCGCCCGTCTTCCCTGCATGGGCACAATCGTGGTCATGCTCAGTGGGGGGGGGGGGGGGATGGCCATGATCATGCTTGGGGGTGGGGAGATGGGGGCGATCTTTGTTGTTCCTTGTCACTTCGTTCTTTGTCACTTTGTTTCAAATTTTTGTGATAAAAAATGGATACAGAATGGATTAACCTTATTTACATTGAACTTTATGGGGAAATTTGACTTGGGTCACGACCAGTTTGGATTGCAACCAGAGTTGTGGAATGGATTAAGTTCGTGAGCCAAGGCACCACTGTATCAGCATTCAGTCCCATGAGTCAATACCTCATAGACATACCTTTGGCAGCAATTATAGCTGCAAGACTTCTTGGGTAAGTCTCTATCAGATTTGTACACCTGGATCCTGCAATGTTTGCCCATTCTGGCTCTGCCAGGTTGTATGGAGGTTGCTGGTGAACAGCATATTTAACGTCTTCCCACAGAGTCTCAATTGGATTTGGATTAGGGTTAGAAACAGAAACTTAGAAACAGAATGAGACAGAATGAGCCTCCCGGGCCTTCTAGTCTGACCCCCTGCTCCAGCTGGCTCCACTCATGACATGCCTACCATGTGCATGTCCAGCCAGTCCTTGCACACCCTCACTGGTGGAGCTCAGGCTTAGGCTTAGGGTTTCGACTGTGGCATTCTCAGACATTCTGGTTCTTCTTCTTCTTTTTTAACTGCCAATGTTGGTTTGGGTGTGTGTTTAGCATCACTAGCCTGCCTGAAAGTGAATGTTTCTGTCTCTTACAGGCAGAAACAACTTTTCTTCTAGAATTGCCCTGGATTTAGCTTCATCCATCTTGCCTTCAGTTCTGACTAGTTTCCCAGTTTTTCCTTGGTAAGAAAATGCATTCCCACAACAGGATGCTGAGGAGTCTTGTGGGAATGGTTTTCCCAGGGCAATGGACACTGTTGGCTTTGCCCCACACATATCATTTTGCAGTAAGGCCAGGCATTTCTGTGAGAGAAGGAAAATTACTGTTACCAAGGAGAAGAATGATGGATTACTAAAGACCAGAGCAGAAGACCCTTATAAGGCTAAAGACCAGAGTAAGGAGCTGTATAAAGAGATTTGTAAATAAGAAGTAGAAGTAAGTAGACAGGTTTGAATTAGTTACTAAGGTAAGCAGACAAAGATGAATTAATATGTACTATAACTAAGTTTAAGCACAAGAAGAATAGTATTTCTCACATCAAAGTTCTGAAGAAAAGAAGTCAGCCTGAACACCTGGAGAGGGTGGCCTTGGGATGAGCCCTTCCACCTCTGCCATCTCCATGTCTGCAGCCCTCCCTTCCCAGGGTTCCCCTTTGAGGTCCCCCTGGCCCTGAAATACATCCCAAGAACAGCTCCTCTTTCATTCCTAACACTTTCCTCCTCCTTCCACCACCTCTTCTACAGCTTAACATGTAAGCAAGCTGGCTTGGCTTACTCAATGAACCAGCCAGCAATGCCCTCCTGGAGGGGCAGCCCCATCGCACAAAAACCCCCCTTCCTTGCGGAGAGACGAGGTCTCCCCCAGTTGGCTGCTTTGCGCCTCCAAACCCTAACTCAGGCCAAGGGCCTGCCCCGAGACCGTTTTCGTCCATTTCTGAATGTGCTGTGAGGAAGCAGGTGCAAGCTGCTGCTGGCTGGCCTTGGGAGCCTCTGCATCTGCGTGCCGGCAAGTGCACAGGCACAGTCCTGCAAGTTACACTGCTGTGGTGGCCCCGGGGTTCCAGGTGCTCGGGTGTCAGCCACTCAGTTGGAGAAACCAGTGAAGACACAACGGAGATGGAGCAGCCAGCCATGGCACAGGGAGCGGAGGGAGTGTGGTGGCCGCAGAAAGGGCAGAGGGGCATGCGGAGAGCCCTCTTAGCAGAAGCACCTCTGGTACAATGCGGGAAGGCAATGGCTCCCTCAGTTCACGCTGTTAGACACATGGCTTGTTGTTAGCCCTCTTCTCCTTCTCCAGTGGGAAACAACTGCAAGAAGGAAAGGGCCCTTCCTCCTGTTTGCCAGAAGGGTCTCTGCGTATCTCTGTGAGCCTGTTAAGGATGTTCCCGTGTTTCTCTGGGAAGCCCTTTCCAGGTCACCATTTCTTTTAGGGCCTCCCTCACCTTCTCATTCCTCAGGCTATAGATGAGGGGGTTGAGAAGTGGTGTTACCATGGCTGTCAGAATGGCCACCACTCTGTTGGATTCCAAGGAGGGGCTCTGTGCTGGCTGGACATACATAAAGATGGAGCTGCCATAATAGATTGTCACTACAGTGGCATGCGAGGCACAGGTAGAGAAGGCCTTCTGCCTCCCAGTGGCTGATGGAATCCTAAGCACTGTGGAGACAATGTACATGTAGGAGATGGAGATGAGCAGTAGGGTGCCCATCAGCATTATGGAGGCGAGGAGCACGTCAACTAGTTCAATGAGGCGTGTGTCAGAGCAGGAAAGTTTCAGCAATGGGGTGCTGTCACAAAAAAAGTGGTTGATTACATTTGGGCCACAGTAAGGGAGCTGAGCAATCACCACGGTTGGCCACAGGATGTGCAGAAAGCCACCCAGCCAGCAGCCAAGCACTAGAGAGATGCAGACCCGTGTATTCATTATGGCAGCATAGCGCAGAGGGTGGCATATGGCCACATAGCGGTCCAGAGACATCACCATCAGGAGGAGCAGCTCAGTGGAGCCCAGGAAAAAGTAGAAATGGCACTGAGCGATGCAACCAGAAAACGAGATGGTCTTCTTCCTAGCCAGCAGGTTGGCTAACATCTTGGGGACAATGGCTGAGGTGAAGAAGATCTCTAGCAGAGAGAGGTTCACCAGAAAAAAGTACATGGGGGTGTGAAGATGGGGGTCTCTCATCACAACTGTAATGACCATAAGGTTCCCCAAGAGGGTGAGAGTGAAGATTGCACAGAAGACCACAAACAGGGAGACCTCCAGCTCATGTACTGGCGGGAAGCCCAGAAGAATGAATTCAGTCACCCTCTGATCAAGACTATGATTGTCACTCATCACAGCTGCATTCATTCCTTGCTTCACCTACGGAAATGAGAAGCAGCCTCTGTCCAACAGAATGAATCACTCACCAGGCCATCAAGGAGAAGAGAAAATGATTGAAACTCTGTTTTGTGTGCAAAGTAATTTACTAGAAATGAAGATGAAGAGTCTGAGGGAGTGATGAGGTGAGCTGGTAGCAAAAAGAATTTCTAGTAGCTGTGAACTGAGACCACTGCTCGCTGAAGGAGTCACACACAATCGCTGTGCTTTTAGATTTGTTGAAAATTGTCCATGTGCAGTTTTAGAAAGCAAATGCCTGAGAAATAATGTTCCAGAAAGAGAGCAATGTTAGTCTTTCAAATAACAGAGTCTTGAGGTGTGTTGAGGACTCTCATGTTTATTTTCTCTTGGAGCTGTCAGAGAGTTGGGTAAAATTTCTTTCATATTTGGTGGAACTGTAGTAGCTACAAAAATATTAGCAAACCATATTCTTATGTATCAAGGATATACTAGGATAAAGATTCCCTTATCACCAACTCTTACTTTATTTTTATGAATTTTGGAACATATCCTAACTTGTCGCAAATATAGTGACAATAGGGACATTATTTTACATGCATACACTCAAAGTAGAAAAGGACCCTTTACTCAATTTATAGGAATAGGAACAGCATTTGGAATTTGACTTTCCTGTATAAGGTAATATATTTTCAATGGTCTTGAGAAGGGAAGACTTCTTAGAAAAGATTACAAAAACAATGGTTTCCCATACCTGTATTGTGGGAATTTAATGAAACCATTGGATAATTTACTACAGAAAATTCTTGTACTAATCCATAGTGGATTAAATTTATTTTCTCTCTCTTCTGTTGCTTTTGATTTTGTTTTTGCCTAAGTCTTTGCACTCAAGACTCTTGTTTCATGAAGCTCTCTTTCTTCCAGGTCTTTAGTAGAATAAAGTGGAGCACTTCATGTGGAGCAGTGAATAGTACCTTGATGTCCACTTACCATTGATGACTCAGGTTCCAATTCCTCCCTAGCCATCAAATTTACTGGGTTGCCTTGAGCAATTTTTTTTCAGCTAAGCTTCCCCTGCTTCATCGAACCGTGGTCATGAAAAAATGAAGTAAGAGTGATAAAAGGACTTTGCAGACTAAAGTGCCATTGAAGTAGCAAAATAGTCTAGCTTTAAGCTTTTTGTGCAGTACCTTTATACAAAGCAGCAAAATTTTGACTTGCTGTGTGCTGAGCCATGATCTCTGTGGATCTTACTTGATAGTACCCTTACAGGCAGGGCGTCAGTGGAAGTAGGCTTCTGTGTATGACTCACTCTTCTGGATCTGGACCTCCTGCCCATGGAGCAAAGGTAAAGAGACTCAAAGTCCAGTGAAAATATTGTTCCTGACTGGGCTGGGGGTGGCAAGTTTACTCCCGAAACAGAAAGGTGGTGCTGTCAGTTCTGTAATGATTTCTCTGGAGAGTCCAATTCTATTTCCTTCCCTCCCTGTCCCCCTCCCTGTTGGTGTCAGTGCTGATCTTCTGTTTGACGAACAGAGCCTTGGGTGTGCATATGAGAAGGGCAATGAGAATCTTCACATTTGGGGCCATAGTTCTTGGTACCAGCTCGTCACCCTCAGTGGTCCCCTATCAACAGCCACTGTACATGGCTCAGCAGGGGAAGAGAGGGAAAAGCAGGGCTGAGATACTGCCTCCTTTATGAATTGTTTTTATTCAAGCTGGTCATTAAGAGAACTATGTAATGGTAGGAAATTGTGCTTGAATGTGTTTGATTCCCTCTTCCCTCTGCATCTCGTTTTTCCTTTGTGTCATGCCATTAAATTGTAAGTGTACAGGCAGGGTCTGCCTTGTTTTTAATATTTGCTCAGCATTTAGCAAATTTTCAGTGCTTCATTAATTCTTTATATCGTAAGCCATCCTGAGATTTTTGTATAATAGGATGGCATGCAAAAGCTATTAACAACAACAATAATAATATCATCATTTTATTAATATTATCATTATTTTAATGATATCTTTGTGCACTGTTCTAGTGAACCTTTATTGTTCACTGATGGTTCTTGGAAAAGTGCTGTCTCAGGCATAACTTATAATTTGCATTAATTCTTCCTTTTTTATTGAAACAACCCATGCTGTAATTTTAGAAGTACTCTATTGTTCTTATTTTAACTAATTGTAATTTTGTGTTTTATTGGCTGGTCAATGAACAAATAAAGAATTGATTGATTGATTGATTGAAAAAACCCATTTCTTTGGACATTCTTGATGTTCCATCATTGCTATGATCCAGAGAACTAGTCATATGAAGCCAATGATAATGTTGTTTGTTTCCCTTCTACTTCTTTCTCTGTCACAAATGGGCAACAGAGGTTGTTTTGCAGTTTTCTAAAGTGTATGCATTGACTAGAAGAAAGCCCTGTGGATTTCCATTCAGAATCAGGGAATTAATTCTTCCCTGAGTATCAGTTTTAGAGGAAAATAAGCAGGTACCTTTTAGTCAACATGCTTTACATCAGTTACCATACCATCTGTGCACCTTGAAATAAGAAATGCATGGCTAGCCAAGCTATGACACCTTTCGCTGAATCTGGAAAAGATTCTTTTTCACATAACAGACTTCAGTAAAGTCTTCATTAGGTTACATTAAAAAAAATATCCTACAGTTTACTGGAGAGTAATACATGCATCAAACACATGGTCACACTGACTATAATGGGTCTTTCTCCCAGGTGAGTGTTCATAGGATTGCAGTCTTAAAATTATTCTTCCTATGCACCATTTCCTTTTGCATTGTCTAATAGTAAGAAATTAAAAAACAAGTTCTCACCTTCGATTGTGCTCCAAATGGGATCTCCTTACCTGCATTCAAAACTTAAAGGTGTACAGTCATTAAAAGCCATCTGTCTCTGTAGGGAAGGTATCTCAGAGGTCCTTTCCCAAAGGAAGATAAAGATGTGAATATTAAAGATCCTGATATAGATAGTAATTAGTCATTGCTCCCAATGGATAAAAGTGCAATGATGACTATGCAGCCTCCAAATATAGATGAGCTCTCATTACAAAACTTTCATTTCTTAGGGCCTTGCATTTTGTCAAAATTTTGGTGCCTATAGCAGCACCCTGCATTTTTCACTGTTTTGACTTTACTACTTAGCCACCGCTCTTAGTTCTTCTGTAGTTTAAGTCAAAGGGCAATCTTGAATGGACATACTTTAAAATAAAATAATAACACGTCCTCTCTCTTTTTTGGGTGAGGGGTTCTCATGAGAAGTTAAATCCCTAGGGAACTGAAACCACATGCTGTGGTTAAAATCCCTCCATGCCTGACAGATTCGGTGCCTCTTTCCCTTCCTCTTCCCCACTGCAGGAGAACCGAGATGTCCCCTGAGCCATGCTACGCCATTTTGCACTGGCCACAACTTGACTTAATGGCAGTGGGTGGTTGGAAAGATTTTGAGAGCTGCCATTAAAGGCACCCTTTCTGATCCTTTACTGGGGAAACCCATAATAAAAAAATACTTTGCAGTGGGTGCCGCATATGCAGTAAAGGATATGCAGTACTGTGTCCGTGCAGACCAAGTGTCCCTGGTGAATTGCCACTTCGGAGCTTACTGTTATTTTTTCTTTCAGAACTGTTTTTTTTTTAAAGATGGGGGAGTGTGGAAAGCACACTGTGCAGTGGAATGCTTGGGTTTTGGGGGTGCACTCACTTTCCCAAGTGTAGATGATAAAAACACACAAGGACCCCGGTAAAAATCTCCAAGAAGTTGTGGGGTGGGGGGGGGGGGTGCTAGGAAGCCCTCACGGTCCTTTTGGATTTGGAATTTACTCTGAGTGGATTGTAGCTCAGGAGGCGGCAGAACTTCAGGGAAACCTCAGTGTGTGTGTGGTGGGGGTGAGGCTTGTGACTGAATGAGAGAACTTCTGCCAACAGCGCTTCTGCCAATCTTTGATTCCCCCTCCCCATCAACACCTGTGGGTACCTGAGGCACCCCCTAAACTGGGGAACCCTGCTGCCCAAGGGGAAGCAGCTCTTTTCAGTGAAGCATGGTCTCCCAGGGCTTTGCAAAGAACTGGCTGGTATACTTTGCCAAGTTGGCTCCATGCAAAGTGAGGAAGAGAAATAGGGTAATTTAAAGGGGGGGGGGGTGGATGTTTGTATTTTGATAAGATTTTATTGCATTTTGCTGTGTTATTTTTGTGATTGCTGTAAACCAGCCTTCCCCAACGTGGTGGCCTTCAGAGGCATTTGGAGCACAACTCCCAGAATTCCCATTTAGCAGGAGCATCGACTGGGAATTCTGGATGTTGCAGTCCAAATGTGCCTGCAAGGCACAATGTTGGGGAAGGCTGCAGTGAACTGGCCAAAGATCTCCATCTATTGGGTAGCACAGAAATGAAATTCTGATTATTACTGTTACTAATATGTTGGATGATAGGAAATGATGACAGATTAGATAAGCCATGGTCTGAATTAGAATCCTCATTTGAAGAAAGGTATTAAAAAATTAAGAAAAATTGGTTGTGATCTTACAGAAGGTAAATTATATTAAGGTAATATGTGAGAGCTGAACAAAAAAAATGTAGTTTTTTTTAACAAAATATAACCTTGAAATTAAAAAGAATTTGAAAAGGTGATAAGAGAATGAATAACTATCACTAGAAAATTGTAAGTAGAGATATTTTTATGCTTTATTTAGAAGAACTTATTTCTAAGATTATTTACAAAGAAAGAATTGAAAAAGGAATACCTAAAAACATAGAGTGAGCTCACTTAGTGACTCATGTAGAGGAATACTTTGCAAGATATTTTCAGTTGAACAAATTTTGTACAGCAGAAATAGCATTTAGAACAGGTACTCTTAATAGTTCATATTCAGGTTATGCACAAGCTATTTAGTATGAGTTTATACATAAATGAAATTATTGAGTATAGGTACTGTAGAATGATGGAGAAATTTATTATTGTTGACAAAGCATATGAAGGTGATCAAGTG